GGAGCACGACCATAGCTCTCCCACTTGCCCTCTTTCTCTGTCTGCCCGGCTGCGTGGCCCTCTCTCTCTCTCTCTCTCTTTCGCTCTCTCTCTCTCGCTCTTTCGCTCGGAGGCGGGGCGGAGAAAGCGAGTGTCCAGGCTGGCCGCAGCAGCTTGTCTTAAAGTGGGGATCGCTGCGCGAAATGCTCTGCGAAAAGCTGCCCTGGCTGAAGTCACACGTTACGCGTTGGGTTCCCGTTGTTTTTTATGTCAGCTCCAGGGTTTGCCAAGACTTTGGTTTTCAGACCCCTGCTGGACTTGAGGCGCTCGACGCCTCTACAGTCACCTGCTCTGGCGGGATGGGGAGAGCTACCTGTCTCGTGCAAGCTGCTCGTCCTAAAACGCCCATGTCGGCCCGTAGCCTTCCGCCTTCCTCTACGCAGCAATGAAGGGTTGGGTAGAACATGCAACGTTTTGAAGTGAGTGTGCATCTAAAAACCCTTAAGGAACTGCGGCGCTGGAGTCGCTGCTCTCGATCGCCCGGGGCCATCCACTGGCCCTCGTACGGCGCCAGGCACAGATGCGGTCGTCGTCCTTGTCGTCGTCGTGTCGATTCTTGTGCTGTCTTCGCCTGTGCGGAGGCATTGGCGAGCTTGGCCGGGGCCTGCATGGCAGACCCGTCGCTGCTGGCCTCTCGCTGTATCGTGGAGGCTGTGGCCAGCGGCCTCTCAGCAGAATAGCAGCACCTCTGCATGTCCGCAGCATGTCATGCAGACCCCATTTGGACATGATGTTGAGGTTTGCAGGATGAGGCGGCTTTGGCTCGGCTGGCCAGCGTGGACCTCGTCCTGCGGCTGAGCAGCCACGGCCACGGCGAAGTTATCGAACAACGGCTGGCGGAGTTGCGTGGTGCTGTGCGAGGACGGCTGTCCGATCCATCGCCTCTCGTGCGCCGGGCGGCCTTCCGTGCCGCATGCCAGTGGCTTGAGGAGGGTGTCGGGGCCCCGAGCCACTGCCTGCAAGAGGCAGGCAATCTCCTGCGCCGGCTGCGATCCGAGCAGCCGACGATCCGCTCCTTCGTGCTGGGGGTGCTGGCACGGGTGGTCTTTAACGGGCTCAGCAAAACCGGCAAGGATCGACTGGAGAGTCTGCAGGTCCTCTTGGCGCAAAGCGGAGCTGGTGGGACTGGCATCCGTGATGTCATCGCTGCGCACTGCAGGTGTCGAAGCTGTAAATGCGAACTGAACTTCCAAAGCGCCCTCTTTGATACTAGTCACTAGTCAAGTCAGAAGCAGCTCTCAATGATTCCCTGCGCGGTGCAGGGCCATGGATGCAAGCAAAGACGCGGAGGATGCACCTGCCGCAACGACCTCAGTGATGGCTGAGGTCGTTAGTTGTGCGCTCGCAGTGCTGCCAGCAAAGCCAGAGAAGCTTGAGAAGCATCAGTTACAGCTCCTGACGATCTTGGAGCAAGTGGGGATGGAACGCCCGGCTGCCTTTCAGTCCAGCCTGGCGCTTCTGCAAAGATGGCTTGACGTGGACACTCCGTGTCAGGACGCAGACGCAGGTCCTTCAAAAAGCGCGGAGCTGGACCTCCCCATCTGCGCCTGCAACATCCTCGCACAAGTCCTGCCCCACTGGGCCGAGCACACCTCCACCCTCTCCAAGCAGAGCCAGGCGCGCAAGCTGATGGCCCAGCTGTCGGCCCCTCGGCCAAAGAAGCAAAGGGAAGAAGTTTCAGAGCCTCAGAGAAGAAGAGCAGAGAGTGGAAGACTGCTGGGCCCGCGGGTCTGCGAGCTGAGGCTTTGATGGAGGAGGCCAGGGTTCCCCTGGGCGACCTGGGCCTCCTCGCCCGGGCTGTCGTCCGATGCCTGTCGGTGCTTGTTCCACTGTGGCCCCCTGCGGGGCAGATGCTGGTGGGCCACTTCGGTCGCAGCGCCATGCTGCATTTAGCCGTCGGCCGTATTCAGATTCGCGTAGCACCAGTAGAAATGTCGAGTCTCCGCCTTCATTGCCAATCTTCAACTGAGGTGTGCGCATCCTAGCAGAGGTAGTGCAGCAGAGCGGCCCTGTTCCGCACGGTAGGATCTGCCGCCATGCATGGATCGTGGGGTCAGTCGTGGAGTTTTTGGACCAGGGCTGTGAGCTGCTCTCCACAGAGGGTGGCTGCAAGCTTGCCTTCGAAAGCGCCGTGCTGCTGCTCAGTGACTGCTGCCTGCGCGGCCCTTTGGCTGGGCAGCCCGCCATCGTGACGGCCCTGGGCTTTGCGCTTCGACGCTGTCCGTCCCTCCTCCGCGAGGAGGCGCGGCGAAGTGCCGGAGGTCCTGGGCCACTGGAGGTGCTCCGGCACGGCTTACAGCAGGCCGAGGGCAACGGCGCGAACCTCAGGGCGCGCACTGCAGAGACCTTCGCAGGACCTCGAAGCAGAACGCAACCTTAAGGCCTTATAAGGGTCTGTCACATGCAGGGCTTGATATTTCTGCTTCGGCTCTCTCTCCGTATCAGGACTCGCCGCGCACTTCCAGGAGGTGGCTCAAGCAAACAGTGCGAGCAGCTCCGATATGGATGCTGTCTCTGAAGCCAGCATTGCAGCACAGAGCCTTGCAGGGCTGCAGAAGGAGGTGATGCAGATCCTGCATTCCACAGACAGCATCTCCACTCTGCAGGCTCTGCGGGGCCTTAACTCACTTTGCGACCTTGGGGTCGTCCACCCCGCTTCGACGCTGCCGAGCCTGATCTCGGCCAGCTTGGCTGGGAACCCCTCGGCTGCTCCGCACACCCGGGGCCTCCTTTTGCGCCTCGTGGAGGCCACACCTCCGCTCCTGGTGCAGAAGTGTGGCCATGGCCTGAGGGCAGCCGCCGAGCAGCTCGCCCTGCAGCTCGGCCCGCTCGGCTCCTCGAAAGGAAGCATCCACCAGGACTTTGCTGCAAAGGTGACGTTGCTTACTGATCAGATCCTACCAGACCCGTCTTCTCAGAGACCCCCTGCCTCCCTTCACTTGCACCATGTCTGCACTGCTTCCTTTCAGGACGCCTGGCGTTTTGCATCAGTGTGCGATGCCTATGGTACGTTCTTGTCGGATGGCAAGCAGATGCGCGATCAGTTTCTCACCGCTCTCATGACTGAAATGATCAGCACTGGCATTGATGCAGGCGATCTGTCGCAGTCGCAGGTGTTGCTCCGAGTTCAGCTGGCCCTCGGCTTGCTCATGCGCCTACCGATTTCTCGCGAAGCGGAGCTTGCCAGGATCTTCGAGTGCACGATCCAGTTTCTGATGTTGAAGGTCATGCCGTTTCTAGCAGATGTAGCTGCCGAGCCAGAGGAAGGGCAAGCAGGGAAGGAAGACAGCCTCGGGCCCTCGTTTGCGTTGGTGGCAGTTGCCATCGTGCTGCACAAGTTGTCCATGCATTGGCTCAGCTTGGTGGGCTCTGAGTTTGCCAAGCAGATGCAAGCTTTTGCAGCTTGCCCCAACTCTGATCGGCCCAGTGCCACTCTCGACTTGCCTCTTCCTCCCGGCTTCGCCCGCAAAGAGCCACCAGACTTCTCAGAGACCTTCCAGCAGCTCAAAGACTCCGCCGGAGACGGCAACCTCTCGGTGCTCCTATCATTGGAGATCCCTGCTGACTCGCCGCTGCTGGCCGGCAAGGTGACCAAGGCGACCGGCGTAGCCTGCGCAGCGTGCCGGGCTCAGCAAAGCGCAGAAAGCATTCGACGTCCCCTCTTCACGGCCTGAGGCGTTCTCGTCGCGGACGCAAGCGCGGTGGCGACGCCGCCGAGGGTGCCGAGGGTGCTGAGGCAGGCCTCGAAGGCTTTCAGAGCTGCGGTGCCCAGCTCGCAGCGACGCAGCGACGCGGCCCAGGCCCTGCAGGAGGCAGAACGAGCCGATGACAATGGCAGCAGTCCTGGCCCTAGCGGCCCTAGCACTCTTGCAATCTGCAACGAGAAGTGCAAGTATAGAAGCAAGTCTCCGAGGCAAACGAAGGCGCCGACCCAAGCGAGCACTCGAGGGAGCCTCGAAGAAGGTGCAGCTGCGTATCGTTTCGAGACGTTTCGGGCTTCTAGTGCATTGCACCCCTGAGAGGCCGATGCTGACAGTGAGGCGGCTGGATTCGGAGCATGTCTCTGCAGCCATTTATGGTGCAAGCTGAACCGTGTGCAGCTGACAGGCCAAGAAATCGAAAGGCAAGTGAGGCGGCTATCTCCTTAATTAGACCAGAATTCGAAGTGTTCTGGGCAGTTGCCAAGACTGTCCATGATTCTCGGTGCTTCACAAGGCTCGGTTTGTACTGGAGCATGACCTTGTTGTAGTTACAGTGTTTACAGGTAGGGGTTGTTGTGGCAGCAGGGTGTGCGCAAACCGTTGGTTCAGATCAAGTTGCTGAGACATTTGCCTGCAGACCTTGCGGTGCCACAGCATTTGTGGGGCTTAGGATTTCTTGGAATCCTGAGATTTCACCAGGGGCGGTGCAGTTCCTGCCAGAAAAGAGACACGACATGCCTGCTTTCTTTCCAAGCTTTACAGCGCACTCTGTCTTCTCAGCTGAGCTGCGATGAGTCTCCCTCGTCCCTCTGCCAACATATGCCAACCATGACTCCTGAGACGTGATCAGACGGCAGGCCGCCATTCAAAGCGAAGGCTTGAGGATGCCGGTGAGTTTCTCCGACCCAAGTTCGCAAAACCTGTGCTTGAACATGGCGAGAGCAGAATTGAGAAAGCTGTAGCTGAAGCTTGCCAGAAAAATCGCATCAAACGAGCCGCCCACCCCCACCCCCGTTCAACCAGGCTTCTTATCTGAAGCTCATAGAAAGTCTGGCATGATCGCCCGGCCATGGCTCCATGGTTATCATGAGCTAGTCACTTCCCTCGGGAGGTGCGGGCTTTGCGTGTTGAGCTTAATGTAGAGGTCTGGCAAGTTCTGAGAGGTTTTCTGAAACTGAAGGGCTAAGTTGTTGAGACATCGGCCGCCTACTCCCCCGCTCCCCTCCGTGCTTCTGCATGCCTCCTTGTGGGTCAGGTAGCATGGATGGCGAGGGAGCCGAGGCTTGCACGCTCGGTGATCTCAGCTGGGCTCAAGCTAGCGAGGGCATGGTGTGGATCTGCTCAGGAGGATCGAAAGAACAAAAAGGCACCGAAAGACAAGAAGGACCGATAAGTCCGGGTTCCCCTGACGTCTCGATGTTGCCGCAGCGTGCGACCAGGAGAAGAAGGAAAAGAAGGAGACGACGTCAGAGACAGTCGCCACCACACAAGAGCCCCGAGCTGACACCGCAGGATAAGAAGGGCAAGGACGGCAAGGAGCAGGCGGAGCAGGCAGAGCTCCTTTCGTGCGATTTCAGACAAAGGGCCGCTTCTCGGAGTCGGTTTAAGTTTCAGCTCCGAGGACATGCTACCGGTGACCGGGGTTGCGAAGTTGCCATCTTTGCAGGAGAGCACGGACGTCCCGGCTGCGGCGGTCGGCGCTGTCACTGCAGCCAGGTCCTTAAAGGAAGGATGATGCCGCTACCGTTGTCTCTGTTGTTTTGGGCTTTCTTCTTGGAAGAGGGCATCCGGAGATGAACTGCGAGGAACGATACAGCTGTACACAGCCTGGCTCAGCGATGCAGTTGTCTGAGGACTCCAGCCCTTCAGCCGGCGTGGAGGTCAAGCCCAAAAAGATCAAGGCAAAGAAAGAGAAGAAGGAGAAGAAAGCTGAGCCTCTGGATCCAGAGGATGACTTGCAGGGCCTCCCAGACGAGGTGGGCAGCGGGCATATGCAACAAAATGCACAGCACGGAATGCGGCGAATGGACGAGTGCAGTGTGCCCTAGTAGCCCGTCAACATGCTGCACTGGGAGGACCCGGAAACCTCCCACAAATGCCTTATCAGAATGAGCCGTAGCCATCTGAGCTCAGTGATGTCGTCGTCTCCGTTCGCGGTGAGCCTTGACATGCCAGACGCGAGTATGCTAGGTTCTGTTGGAGGATTGGGGAGTCCTTCAGAGAGAGCCAAGTGTTCAACGATCTGACGGTCAAGACAGTGAACGAGGTGGCCAAAGGAGGTTGCGACGTGAACAGAACGGAGTCTCTGATCAATTCTCTGCAGTCGTTGGCTAAGGCACGGACAGAAAGCAAGCAAAACATCACCATACAACACAACTCTGAAATCATTAAACAGCAGCTCGGCACCATCGACGAGCTGAGCAAGGAGATCACCGACCTGCGCTTGCAGAAGGAGATTTTGGAGAAAGTGCCACAGGGACTGCCGGCAGTGCCGGAGGCGGTGCCACCGGCAGTGTCAGAGGTGGTGCCACCGGCAGTGCAACAGCGTGTGAAGTCCAGACGACAGAAGAGGAAGGCTCATGAGGCTGACAAGGAGAATCATGATCCGAGGCAAAGTCCAGTATCTAAGGAGTGTCGAGCTGGAGGCGGACGATCAAGTCGCCGGCGGCGTGCAAGCACTGGTGACGATGCCTTCGCCATGATTCGGTCGTGTGCATGGGTGCTATGGCTCATGAACCAGGTGCTATCGAAGATCGTCGACGGCAAATCTGCTTCTCAACGGCAAAACTACTTCGAAGAGTCCTTGTCGCCGGCGGACACCGCTTTCACCAACGGCGTGATTGCGGAGATGCGGAGCAAGAGGTCTTGCTCCGCAGCATCCGCAGTCCGCATCTCCGCAATCACGCCGTTGATGAAAGCGGTGTGACAAGGACTCTTCGAAGTAGTTTTGCCGTTGAGAAGCAGATTTGCCGTCGACGATCTTCGATAGCACCTGGTTCACGAGCCATAGCACCCATGCACACGACCGAATCATGGCGAAGGCATCGTCGCCAATGCTTGCACGCCACCGGCGACTTGATCGTCCGCCTCCATCTCGACACTCCTTAGATGCTGGACTTTGCCTCGGATCATGATTTGGCCGTGGAGCCACTTCTTTCTCTAGTTGCTGTGCTGGAGATCTACTTACTCTCCTCCGAGTTCCATGCCAAGCGCTTCGAGGGCAGAATCCACAGGATCATGCTCTGCCACAAGCCTGAGCTACTGTTGGGAGCACGACAGAAAACGCGGGAGATCTACACCTCTGCCGCGTTGCCGTACCTCACCGGTCTGTTCGCAGAGACTTCGGCCATGTCAAAGAACGACTTCGCCAGCGAGCTCGCGTCAGGAACACTCAAAACGAGTGTTTTCTCAGACGGTGCCCAGGGCATTCCGGACGACAGCACTACTGAAGCCGAGGAGACCGACGCCGAGTAAGTACGTTGTCGTGTACAGACTGTAGTCCGAGTGCTCCAAGCGTGCTGTCACTAAGCTTTAGAAAAAAACAAGAGAAGTCAGAAACCGCTGCAGCTGTGAGGGCATGTGGGCTTCCCAGCTGGTGGATCATTAGGACACTTCCTCTGGAAACCCCTCCGAGCCTCAGCCCCAGTCAGGCCAAGGATGCCGAGGGCGAGCCGGAGCACCCCGAAGATCGGGACCCGGATGACCGGCATCCCAAATTTTCCAACGTCGCTTCAGAGCTTCCTCCGGCCGAGCCTCCGGGCGAGGGCGAGGAAGTGGCCGCCGGGGCGGAAGCGGAGGCGGAGGCGAAGGACGCGGACGTGGAGCTTGCCGTGGATGCGGGGCGCGCGGACGAGCCTCGCGCCAGTGATCCGGCTGTGCAGCAGTTCGTGGGCGAGCAGCCTGCAGGGGAGGAGGAGACTGGGGAGACTGAGGATTTCCCTGAAGTGAGGGTGGCCCTTCCTGACGATGAAGTGGAGCCATTGATGGGCAGTGAGCATCGTCGCAGCCAAGTGCCGTCAGTGCCGGCGGAGGACGTCATGACAGGCTCCTCACCAGCATGGAACATCCAATAACAAACGCATTCGCTACGTGTGTTGCACAGGTCCTCCACCTCTCCAGCTTGGGACGGGATCCGGCCTGGCTCACGACATCAACATCCCAGAGAGGGAAGCTTGGACCAAGAAAGTCCCAACACGTTCATCTCCCGTCCGTTTTCGTCTCACTGTTCGCAGTCTTGAAAGCCAAGGAAGTCGAGGGTCCTCGGCGGTACAGCCTCACTGGCCAAGAGAGCGTGCGGAGGTGCATCGAGCGCGGAGCTCAGGAGTCCAAGGAGCTCGATCCCGAAACCCAAACGTAAGAGAGCGGAGAGCCGGCGGAGAGCTCAGGTGTGACCTGGTCTGGGACATGGCGGTAACGCACTGCTCCCGGTGCCAGAAGCAGCTGGTGGAGGGAAGCATCCAGGCCCTGATGGCTCATGCTGCAGACAGTTGGGACAGTAGCAGTACGCGCGGTCAGGTGACCGAGTTTCTAAACGGCAGCCAGTACCTGGCCAAGGAATTCAACATGAAGTCTACATTCTAGATGAGTCTACCTTTTACTTAGCTCGTAGCTTGATCGCAGTCGTCGAAGATACTTCTCATTTTTGCCTGAGGTTGGAGTTCCTGGAACAGGCCTTCAAGCGGTACGATGTCGATGGCTCGGGGAGACTGGACGGCAAGGCCTGACATGGGGTATAGAACAGACATGTGAGGGCGTGACAGAGACGCAATGCTGCAATGTCACAACCACAGCTTTTGTCATGTGTCCTTGACGTGGTAGCGGTTAACGGTTAGGACACGACAGGACACAAGGCTTCGCAGCTTCGGGGCTCTTGCTTGCGGGGAGGTCTGGGTTCAAGGAAGGCTCCGTGGCCTTGCGCGGTCTTGATCTGCACTGCGCAGGAGCTTCGGATGGCTGTGCGAGAACTCGGCTGGGTCCGGAGCTCGGTGGTCCTTCGTGGAAGCTAGTGTCTTCGTACACACCTCCCTTTCCGAGCATTCAAAAGCACAGAGTCGTTTTGACATGCTGCGGTACATTGTAGATGCCCATATCTGCAGGACACGAAGCAGGACGTCTTGGACAGGTGGGCTCGCAGTGAGCCAAGATACCTGCACACATGTGCTAGCAGATCTGCTTGCCCCAGCAGCATAAAGGGTACCTGAACGCTCAGGGACTTTAGGTACGGTCATGGCTAAGATGTTTGTAATGATAAGTGATAAGTACCTTAATTAGGGCAAGTTTTGGAGCAGTATCGCAATCTCCCCCGACACCATTAGGCCCAATGCAAGACACACCATATGAACGATTACCAAACGGCCCAGCCGGAGTGATCCCTAATGATCGCTCGCTATGGTTGTCGGTGCTCATGAGATTCGCAGCAAGGGCCGACGTGCAGTTTCTGAGGCGTTGGGGGAAACCAGGGCCTCAACCTGGATCAGTTCAAGAATTTGATTGCTTGGGACTGAGTCTTTATCATACCGGGCCTGATGATAAACGTCATGGTGGAATGCTTGACTTGAGGCCAGTGGCAAGCTGGGGAGGAAGACGTTCAAACCCATCACAGGGAAAGCGAGTCAGGCAAGCTCTGTTTGGTGCACGAGCTTCTCGCTTTGAGGACGTCTGTTTCATGTTGAGGCAGTCAAAGATGAGAGAAGACAACTACTCGCCATGGGAGGACCGAGCTTGGTGAGCTTGTGTGCCTGTGATTCAGATTGAAAGTATTCCGGTTGGATGCTCTGAACTGGGGTGAGCTCTGCAGGGGCAGCCCCGCAGTTTACCGCGCGCCAGAGGCTGTGGTGTATTGGCGCTGCGTCTCCAAGTGCCTTTCTTGTGTCACGGCGACATCTGAATCTAGCGATGTGTCGAGTCCTCTACTACTGTGTACAGAGTCTATTCCCGCTTTCGTCATCGTTTTTTTGTTCCTTTGGCACGGATTCGTGGGCATCGAGTTGTGCATCGGAAGGCCAGGCCGGCGTGGGGCGTTGATCCCTGGCGCGACGCAGGACATGGGCTGACGTGGGCTGACCGGGTCCCTCGAACTGTTAACATCCTTGCGAAGACCAGGAGTTGGCGCCGGACGAGCAGTCGCCCCAGCTGCGCATCTTCGTGGAAGCTTCCACGAGAGAAGCCCATCGAGGTCGCTTTCGGCGGCGACCCCTGCGGCCCCGGCTTTCGGCGAAGGCGAGGCTGCCTTTTTTTTTTTTCTTCCGAGCTCCAGGGTTGCTTCGAAGGGATTTCGGCGGCTCGGGCGAAGCTTGGGAGGCCAGAGCGTCTTCGAGGAGCTGCCGGCGCATCGGAAGGTGGAGCTCATCGAGGCCAACACCCGGTTAAGGAGTTTAGAGGGGTTTGGGAGGGGTTGGAGGGGTTGGAGGGGTTGGTTTGATTCAGGGTTTAGGGTTTGGGGTCTCGGGTTTGGGGGTTTGCGCAGAGCTTAGGGTTTCCGACTCCTCGCGTTGCTTCGCCTTTCGGGGCTTCCCTTCGTCTCCGCTCTCGGCTCCTGAGTTTAGGCTTGGGCCTTCTGGGACGCGGACCACTCTGGCTTCCTGGAGCCTTGGCCTCAGAGATTAGCCCGGGGATCCTGGGGTATCCGTGTGCTATAGTTGTACCGTTCCTGTTGATCTTCCGCTCAGAACGCACTTCATGGTGGCCCAAGTGACCGATGTTCCACAGTGTCCTGAGCGCCAAGGCCGATCGAGTTAATGAATGCTTCGAAAGGCCTGGTTGGGAGTTTGCGAGTTCAGCTCTTGAGGGTTTATGGATTCAAGGGCAGGAGGCATCATGTTCACGGCAACGTCGTGAAGTCGGTCGCAGTTCGCCGTGTGTCAGGGCTTGGCTTTCACCTTCCAATCGAATCCGTCGTCGCCGCCGGATTCTGAGCACAAGGGCCCCGTGCTTGTTTGGAGGTTTGGCGCGACATTTTTCGCTTGAGCCAGAGCATTGCGCAAGGTTGCGGAGCTTCTCTCGAAACCTGCCACCAGTGAAACATGTGTCGGCTTATTCAAAGCATTGACGTCTTACCGTACCTGGGCACCGGCCAGCCACAAGGGGCTGCTCCAAGGTTTGTGGGAAGCACGGCGGTGGAATCGACCAGGAGAATTTCGTCCGGGTCATGCCGAGCAGCTCAGTGCACACAGCTCGCTGCTCTCACCAGTGTTGCAGAAGTTTTGGTTCAGATACTTCGAATCACGAGGGTGCTGTCGAAATCAGGTCGGTTCAGATAAAGCATCGGGACGAGGCCAGGCCCTCCGGTCCTTTCGAGCAGCGGCTTGACGTTTCTGCAGCCAGGAGCTGGGCCTTTGGAAGGGCGCAAACGCCTTGCCGCTCGAGGAAGAAGGGCTCGATGATGAAGACAGGACCGGACTCCAAACACCCCGGCATATCATAACTTTACGGTTTTGTGCGGCGTGTCGTGTTGGGTTCTTCTTCGTGACAAGGCGTGTGTTGGCAGCTGCGGGTATGTGCTGGCAGACGATACTGTAAATTCAGAGCCCACGTGGTCAGTACAACGCTGCGCGCCAAGCGGAAGAAGGAGCTAGCGAAGGCTCCAAGGGAGTTTCTGGCATTCCGGCCCGGTCCTGTGTCCCATTGGACGTTTCCAGGCAGAGCTGAACCTTCGGCGCACCAGTGTGACGGAGCCTTGCCAGCAGACTCGACCTCTTCCGGAAGGAACGCAAAGCGGTTGCTCCGAGCAGTTGCTGGTGTCTGTGAGGACAAGAACTTCAAATGGCGGAACCTGCTGTGCACCAGCCACGCTACAGTGGCAGCCCGAAGCTTTTTTCAGAACCTTCTCAGTCAGAGCAGCACCGCTCATTGAAGGTGGGCGAGTATGCCATTGGAGTCAGGCTCGGATGTGAGAGAGAGAGAGGCAAAGCTTCGTGATCTCATTGAAAGGCTGTACTTCGACTTGCTCCTTCTGTTGGTGATCGCCTTCGGCGTCCTGGTCCTAGACTGGCGAGGGGCAAGGGGCAGAGGGAGTGGTTCGAGCCTTGTTGTCATGGATCTTGAAGGTGCTAACAGCCACGACTTTGCCATTCTTGCTGACGCTCGGTAGCAGTGGAGGGTTCCTGCTCTTCAGCATCAGCACATGTACGGGAGATTCTGCAAACACACACAGGATGTGCGCATCCAGCTCCGGCGGAGGTCCCGTGTTGAAGCAGCCAGGGTCTTAGAGCCGGAAGAAGAATGGAGTCATCTCATCCTGGCAAGACAGCTCTGTAATCTTGCCCAGGACCGACGACGTGTTGAGCACATTGGCGAAGTACTCCGTGGGAAACTTGGTGAGGCAGGCTTTCCCGAGACCAAAAGCAGCGCCCAACGCGGCGGGCTCTGAGCCGCGCTCTGCAGGTCGCCGGCAGCGGATGCCAGAAACCAAGAGACAGAGACGATCACCATTTTCACAAACTCTCCAACCTGCGAGCGAGCTCAGCTTGCCACGTATATCCACGCGTCCAGGCCACGGTGCATATCATGAACGAGTTCTTCGGCTCCATGGCGCAGGGCACCCGGTCCCGGTCCGGTGAACAAAACATGGGGTCATTTTGCTCGGGGCCCTCCTTTTTGCCCAGGTTGCTGGGCGTGCTGCTGCTGTATCGCTTCGTGCCTGTCCGAGATCGACGCTTCCTAAAGCAACGGGAGTGTACGGTCTGCTTTGCGACGAGGTCATCATCCACCGGGCAACCTACACGGTGCCGGAGCCATTGTGAAGATTCTGCGACTCTCGTGATCGCTGCATGTGACACGCCTTGCCAGACCAACAGCCGCAACCTGGCGAACCTGGCGATTCAGGCATCGCCCTGTTGAGCAGAAGCCGACGTCGGAACGTTGACATATGTAGGTCCGCGGTCTTCCCACCGATTTGGGCTACCATCACCTGGGCTACGAAGAGTTGCTTCGTGCCGCGGCCTCTGCGAAGACTGCCAGAATAGCTAGTGCCAGCTTACTCTGATTGGACGTGGCGCTGGGCTATCCAGGAGCATTTTCAGACGGTCGCCTACGAACAAGCTCTGCGCGTGGAGTCTGCCTGTGTCGACTGCTGCGATGATGTGGCAAATTCAGTGCAGAGAGTGGGAAAGCTGCTTGGGAGAGAGATTTATCGTATGCCAGATGGGCACCGAACGGGAGCTGGATGACCAGCCTGTCCGCGAGGCTGTCTTTGTGGGTTGTGCAAAAGGCCTTTGGCCGTTGGTGTATGCGCATCATTCCGCAAGCACATGACAGTCCCGCAACTTCACCCGCCGAAGTCTTTGTATTGATATAGAACTATAGTATAGTATGGCTAGCGCAGCCTTTCGTGCTACTTGTATCTCGAATGGGCTGCAGTGCGGCTGAATTGTATAGTAGCACTACTCTAGCGAACAGAACTGTCAGAACTGTGACCTTCGGTGAACCCGCCTTGCTTCAGACGCTAAGGGCCGAGGCCAAGCGTAGCCCTGCGATGCAGGTCGTCTTGTGGCGCAACTATGATGCAGCCGTTCATGGAGTACTCCAGCAGGCTCTGCACTTCTCTACTCACTCTGCCTGCGAGTCGGATTGCAACGTCCCTCAAGCCTTGAGAAGCACTCAGAAAGAGAATGCAGGGGGGCAAGAACATGACTTGACGCGATGGAAAGCAGCCTCTGTTCTGCACAGTTCTGCTGTCCGTGCGCTGTACCCCTAAGCTCTGGCTGACGTGGGCGTTTAGGGCCTAAGAAGGTCTGGGTTTAGGGTTACGAAGATCGTCCGGGTCGGGCGAAGTCGGTCCGGGATACAGGGACTCGCATGACTCCGCCTCAAGCCCCAACAAAGCTTACACCCGTAACCTCTGCAAAACCAAACCTTGTCGGCTTGTCGCCTCAAAAAACCCCATACGGGCAACCAGGTTTCCAGGGCAGCATGGCTTGAGAGACAAATGTCATGTCAGTTGGCAACAGCTCACAAGCTAGTTGCCTCTCAACAAATTCTGCTATGGATGACTCCATCGGAGGCTCCTAAGGTCCTAAGGCGTTACAGGCCTCATAGTGCAGTGAACTGCTCGACCCTATGAGAGCGAGCTGCTGGATCTCCGCCCAACACTAGCCAGGTAAGTTTATGCAGAACCTGCATGATTTGGTTCTTTTAGGCTGTGTAAGCAGTCCGACGACTTTGCAAGTTCTTTCTTGCAGTTCGACTTCCGTTTCTTCCTGAGAAGAAGTTGATGGCTCAATAAACCAAGTCTTGGCCCGCAACTTCCTGTCCACTTCAGTTTAAACGGAGAACTGTGGGTACTGGCTTTGACCAAGTGTAGCACTAGCAAACTTCAAACCCGAATAGCTCTAGTTCTTGCTCGACTGGAAAACATTTGTGCAGTGTTCTGGCATCGACGATCAGAACAGGTTCCCAGCATTGTGTAGGCTTAAAGATGTGCCACAGCTCGATTTAGAAGCAGCAGACCGAGCGAGCTCCGCCGGCAGCAATTGGTTCTCTGTTCGTTGGAGCTCAGAGCTCACCAAAAAATGTGTGAGTCACATTGATGCGTCCCATTCATGGCAACCTTTGGTAAAAGGCGAAAAATTGATGCGCTATGAAGTGAACGCTGTGATGACCAGCCATGGAACTTTCGGCTTGTGAAGACAAGCTTCAGAGTGCACAGCATATGTGGTGTTACCGATTGAGTTTGTGATTTTGTTCGGGCGGTAGTACAGAGATCCCGCTCGTCACGGCCCGCTTCAAGCTGTCTGTGCGTGTACGCAGGTGGAACTTCAAGCCAAACAATTCAGCGTCAACACAGAGCTCAAATTCTTGGAGCAGAAAGCTCGAGAGGCCACGGGTTCAATGGGCGTGTAACAGTGGCCATTGCAGTCTGATTTCGTCCGCTCCACGTCGAACTTCCGCCCCCCGATCCCTCAAATGCACGCAAAGCAGCAGCATTGTTCTGCTCACAGATGTCACGCAGCATGCAATCGGATGCCCCGGCATTTTAGATCGTAGAAGATGGTCCAAGCCAGATTTAGCCAGCATCGTAAGCAGCAGTTATGTGTCAGCACGACCTCTCGGAAGAGCTCGAGCACGACCTTGGCTACAATGCTGGCGGCGGGCTCCATCCTCATCCCACCCAAACACTTGAAGCTTTCGGCTTTGCATGAGGGGGAAGCCGACTGACTGCAATTTCTGGCTCTCAGGCTTGCCCCGACTTCTGGTCACGAACCCAGTGCTGTTTCATTGCATTGTGTTTATGTGAAAGGCACGAGTTCAGATGTTGCATGACCGTGTTTGTGCACATGTATGTATGCTTGTGTCCGTGCTTATGCGTGCAAGCAGTCTGTGATTTCGTGTGCTTGTTCAGTGCATTACCCGGTTGCCGTCTTTGGCTCCTAGCCTTCTCCCGAGTTGCGTGTGCAAAACACGGCTCTCTTCAACTTCTTCCAACTTCCGTTCCCTGTCCCCCTCGATATGTCGCTCCGTCTTTCCCTGTCTTTTGCTTGGCTCGGACTCGTCGCGCCGTTCTCCTGCGAGGCCTGCAGCCGTTTTTCGTGCTTGCTGTTTTATGCGGCTATAGCTATCTATCTACTTCGTTCATCTTCGTAGTTGCATATCTGTCTCTCTGTCTATCCGTTTACCTATGTATGCATCTGTCTATCTGTCTACCTGGCTATCCACCAGCTCCAAGGCCGGCGCCAGTCGACGAAGGGCCGGCAGACCATGAAAGTCATGGCAGACAGGCCTGATCTTGGGTGTGGACTCGTTTGCGGTGGGAGTAGAAAGATTTTGATTGTCAAGCTTGTGTGAGGTGTGAGGCTTCCGTGCGCTGAGTTTGCTTTGAGTTGTTTGGTGCTTCTTTGCTTCGATTTCAGGCAGAGCTCAGGGCTCAGCTTTCGCAGATGGCGGCTCGCTGTGTCAGAGTTGGCTCACAGGATTCGGGCGACTAAGGCGCTGCGTCTATCATGAGTCAGGGCACGGGCCGCAAGATGGGATTCTCTGAGATCTGAGCACGTTCTGAACCAACGCTAACAGCTTTCCGCTACCTCGTAAGCTGTGTCAGCTAAGGTCAAGAAGAGAGCAACTTCTCACATGCCCGGGACTGAGCGGCCGATCTGGAGGAATCACGGCGGTGGATCGAAGACGCATCCAGCAAGGCAGTTACCACCAATGCGGAGCGGATGTACGATCGGATGTGCAGCAGAGCGGATGTGCCTGTCCCAGATTCATCGATATGCTGGCAAGTATGTTTGAAGAGTCTTTGTCGACAGACGAGATTTCAGTTGAAGCCAAGGGGGGCAAGCGATTGGCCAAGCGGCAAACCTACTTGCTCTCAATGTCACCGCCCCGGTATATACTCTACAGCGGCCAGTGGCCGGCAGAAACAAGACTAGATCAGAAACAAGCTGCATGACGGGGGGGGGGGGCGTCTATGCATGTGCTCTCCACCATACGTGCAGGAATGATCTGATAGAGGAGCAGATCCTTGAGATTGAGACGGAGAGGGCGCTGCATTCTGTCCGGGCCTCTTAAAAAAGCACTCCTTGACGCTTCTCCTTCGCATCTTCTCTCCTTCTCTTCCCGACGGCGGTCCGACGGGAAGCCGAGGACTTGAAGCCGGAAGAGCGCGAGGCGGGGGGGGGGGGGGGCCCGTGGATGCGGCGAGAGTCTGCGGCAGACCCATTCTGAATTCTCCCCCTGCTGTGCACAGGTCATGGGTGCCTTCGTTGTGTTTTGGTGCCAGCGGACTCGAGATGCCGTTCTGGGTCAGTACGGCTGGTCACGCTGCCGCCTCAGCCGACGGCTTGCGCAGCTCCAACTCACTCACACGTTCCCATCCCCGGGCAGGAACGCATTCGTGTCATTGTGAATACTTAGAACCCTTTCTACATGTCAGTGCAGCAAACGATACTTTCTTACCCTGTCTTGGTGTTTGTTTCGGCACTTACTACGTGAAGTCATTTTTACGCGCGGCCTTGACATGCGGAGTTGAACGATGCTTCCCTGCAGCCCAAGCGGTGACATCCGTTCCGAGATTCCGAAACGCAGAGAGGAAATGAGATGAAGGAACTGGCTCCAGGCTCGTGGTGCTGTCGTGCGTGTTGCCAACGACGACGCTTGCGTTCGGACCTGAGAGTGACAGCGACAAGATCCGGGCTCCAGACATCACTACTTGTGTCATTCATCAAGTCAAATGCTTATGTTTCGCTAGCGCACACGCACACTCTGAGACTATTGGTGTCTCCTTGTCTTCTGATAGCTAGCGTGTTTGCGTGTCCTCGTCTGCAGGGCTCTCTGGGTGCTTTTGCTCTGAAACAGGCAGTACCATGCAAGCAGCCATAAAGACTGTTCAGATTTTACATCTCAAACCTGAACCCAAAACGAGTCAACTAAGAGACCGACACGTCTTCGCAGGTCTGAAGTTGCCATTTGAGGCCGGCAGCTCAGAGGCTCAAGCTCCTGAGCACAGACAGGGAGAGCGAGGATCCTTGTTGGTTTCTTAGAGGTTTCCGGCCCTTTTGAGCCTCTGGAATCATAGAGGCCCCCGTAAGCCGGATGACACTGGGCACACCCAGGAGAGCAGTGGCTCCGAGGGTGCCCCCGACGAGGAGGAAGTAGCGATGCCCCCGGAGTGAAGGACGTCACTTCTTGCAACAAGAAACGCTTTAAATTAATTCTGTACGTGAGAATATTCGACTGGGCTGCCAAAACAGTAAAAGCGGCATCTTGTGACGGTGGCGGGCGAGGCGAACTGAAGAAACATGAGAGGGTTTTGTGGCAACCTGCCAAAGATTCGTTCCCAGGCGTTTCCTCTGATCGTCGAGGCCACACAGGTGCGCCACCTTTGTTCTTTCAATTGAACATTGTCGGCAAAGGCGAGCGAGTGCTCAAAACCCTATGGGGTGCTGTTTAGTTGTTTCAAGTGGTTTTGCGACTGTTATATAACAGATTCTTTTCTCCGTGCTGAGCGCGTCTGGCAGGATCCCAGCCTGCAGCTGTGGCAGAACATGGACGTGAAGCCCTTGATGCGGCTGCAGATCTGACGTGTTTCTAAGACCTATAAATTCTAGACTTCTACCCTCTAGACCAACAATGAGATAACCCTGCAATGGCTGAAGCACGGTGGATCAAAGGTTTGAGACACGAAGCTTTTCTGCTCATTTCCGCTCTCTTGCCAGGGCCATGGGCTGTGTCATGAGCATCGTAGGGAGCCAAGTGAGGTGAAGTCAGCTTTTTCTGTGTTCTTACTAGTCGATGTCCTTGTAAGCTGAGGTGTCAACATATTTATAGTTGGCAGGTTCGTAGTCTCGAACTCTGACCCGCCAGCATCAAGTAGCCGTCCCGCAGTTTGCTTTTTCTGTGTTGCACTCACAGCAACTTTTCCTGGCCAGTCCTGCATTCTCAGCTGTGACCAAGTGCCGCTTCCTGGTCTTGAATCTCATCTTCATCGCCGGACTCTTATCTTTCAAGTGCTTGTGGCGCAGAGACATGGAGGGCCGAAGCATCTCGATCCCAGTTCAGCTCCAGGTTGCCTGTATTACTATGTCTACGCATGTCTACTACCCGTTGTTTCTTCCAATCGATGCCATGGCCTCGGAAGTTCCACTGCAGGGAGGTTGGTCTGGCTCCCTAGGCATGCACCTCGGGTGCTCGTATTCATATATTGCCTTGAGTCCAAGGCGAAGGTTTGGCTGATTACAAACGTCTCGGAGCCTGTCGTCAGCTCCAGCGACGATGCCAGAAGCCCGTGCGTGCCGCATTCGAGACTGCCGATTCAATCAGACCCTCCGATTCTAACTTTAGCTGCCACTAATGCTTTCTGCTCCCGTGTTGAGGTATCAGGTCAGCACGTTACTATAGGTCAGCATGTCGCTCACGTATGCGTAGTCCAGTCGTGTGGCTCCGTGCTCGGCAGCCTTTGCGCTGCAGGTTCCATGTTGGCGTTCCTGCGAGCTGGAGCTCTTTGGCGACGAGTGCGGTTCTCATTCTATTGCAGGGCCTTGGGCCTAAGTTGTGAAGCTCTCCAAGAAACCCGCAATACAAACCTCGAAGTCTGCAGTCTGATCCGTTGAATTCCACGGGCCGAACCTCCAACTCTACAGTATCGTGTTTCTTTCGGACTGCCCAGGCTCTGCTCGGAGCGCAAGGACCCTTACATGTTTGCGTGGCGCTGAGAAGCTCTCGTCCGCTTCCTTCTGGTCAAGTACTGCCGCCTTGATGCCGTGTGATCTGGTCTTCTCCTGAGCAGCATGCCCATTAGGACGTTACAGTTGCGCTCGAACAACTCAATAGAACAAGGAGAGCTGGTCGTAAATGTGGCTCTTGCGATCCCGAGAGAACTCAGGTTTCCAGCAACGGGCTCCCCATGCGTTTGCATCTCAGTTTAATCTCAATATCGCGACAAACCATGTGCTAATTCCAAATGATATGGCTTGTTCAGATGCGCCACATCGTGCAGAGTGTCCAAACTAGGATACAATGTTGCACTTAGAGTAAGGCCGGGTCATCGACTAAGTCATATCGCCCTTCACCATTAAGGTAAATGGATGTGAGCAGGAATTAACCTTCAGTTTTTGGTACGATCCAGTAACCCATTTACTTTATTGCTTGTTTCTGTGTGTTGTCAGATCTTGCCACCCGTGTTTCTTACGTGTCTTACGTTGTCGTGCCTTGTTGTGACCTATCGGCTTTATTCTTTGCCTTTGCCGCACGCCGGTACACACTACGTGATACTATTCATTCTCGCCACTTTATCGCCATTGCCTGTCATGTGCATGCTTTCGTATTGCATGTTCTAGTGTATTACTGGCTTGCCATGTGCCGCCATGTTCTACAACAGGTCGTCATACACCAGCAAACGCTTATAGCTCGTACTTCTTACACGGTGAAGTTCGTGATAAGTGGAGGTCGGCCAAGCCCACCACAAAGGTAGTATACTTGTTCTGCGTAAGTCGTGTATGCACACCACCTCTATACCACTCCTGCCACGCCTACGCCACCAATATTCACCTGCTTTTCTTTGCAGACTGTTAGTTTTAAGGTCGTGGCAGGGTTGTAGGTGGACAGGGGTCGGGCACCGCCCGACGGATCTCAGATTGACAGGTTATTAGCTTCTGTGTGCATGAATGTATGGACATATGGACGTATGGATGTATGCATGCATGGATGGATGGATGGATGGATGCATGCAGGCGTGCAGGCATGCATGCATGCATGCATGAATGTATGTATGTATGTATGTATGTATGTCTGTGTGTGTGAAAATAACACTTCCCTTTCTCCCCAAGACTTTGCCAACCTTCCTTGGCTCAAGACCACTTTGCTCTACCGGAAAAGGCGCTGCTGAATTTCAGGGCTACTTTGGTCTCAGTCGTGTGAGCTTGTGCACGGAATTACTTTAGGGTAGTTTGGTGCGCATTCTGGACTAGTGTACTTTCGCATGGTAGCGGAGCTGAAAGCTCCACGGAACTTTGGTAGAACGACATGGCACTAGGAGGTGAAGACAACTTTACAGGGAAGCTTCGGCTTCCTCTGCCAGAGACTTTCTCTGGGAACCCAGCAGACTGGGAAGAATGGTCATGGAACTTTAAAGCGTACATTTCGATGTTCGAGGTAGGTGCTGTGACTTTGATGGACAATGCCGAAATGCGAACGGCAGCGCAAGGTGACTTTACAGATGCTGATCTAACAGTCACTTTGGACACAGGTGATGTAGATCCGGAACAGACCGCCAACCGAGTACTTTTCTCCCGAAAACTACATTACCTGATTTCTCAACTTGTGAAAGATTCGGCGAAACTTGTTGTTCGTCAGAACGAGGACAGCAACGGCTTTGAGACGTGGAGAAGACTTTACAAGAAGTTCTCGCTGCCAGGAGCCACGCGAAGCACGTCACTTTTGACGCAGCTGTTGGACTTTAAGTTCAACCCAGCCACCTTTGAACAGGACTTTAATGTTTGGGAAACAATCAAGAGTAGGTACGAACGACAAGCAGGACAACCTTTGCCTGATGGTGTTCTTGTTGCAACTTTGCTGAACAAGACCTCCGGAGCTTTACAACAACACCTTAGGTTGAATGCCCAAACTTTGGCTACCTATGCTCAGGTTCGAGAAGTTATCCTTGAGTATCACAGATCACGACTTTTGATGAATCCAGTTGCACAAACTTCGGCGAATGCAACTTTTGCTGGTGGAGCTTCGGCTCCCATGGACATTGGTGCCTTAGCGGCAGCTTTGTGGAAAGGAAAAGGAAAGAAAGGAAAAGGAAAGAAAGGAAAAGGAAAAGGGAAAGGAAAAGGAAAAGGAAAAGGAAAAGGAAAGGACTTTTCGAAGTCGTTTGGAAAAGGAGGACAACATTGGAACTTTATGATGAAAGGAAAAGGAAGAGGAAAACGAAAAGGAAAGGCCACTTCTAGCTCTACTTCGGTTTGCTGGACGTGTGGTAAAACGGGTCACTTTTCGAGCAACTGTCCTAACTACCGTGTTTCAGCTGTTGAAGGTGAAGAACTTTACCCGTCGGAGGATACAGGAGATTGGTCTCACTTTGGTGAGGACGATTGGTCTGATTGGACCGATTGGGCGATCAACGCGGTGACGGAACTTTACAACGACCCTAGCAGTTGGGATCAGACTTGGGATGATCAACTTTGGTCTTGGGATGCTTGGTCCTGGGATGTTGACCCTTGGGGTTGGTCTTCGGACTTTACTTCAGAAGTTTGGCCTTCAGAGGCTGCTCCTTCGGCGAAGGCCGAAACTTTGGCGAAGCCCAAGGAAGAGGCTTCCTCGTCAGGCGGCGCGGCAGCTTTGCCCGTGTCGGCTGTGACTTTGCAAGGACCACCTGGACTTTCAACCCCCAAAGCCAAGCCTAAGGCTAAAGCAAGCATCAGCCCGAGCACTTTGCTCATGTCGGCTGTTGTTCTCGGCAACTTTGGTTTGGGGAACACTTTCAGAGTTGATGGGATGACGAACGGAGTTGTAGACTTCAGCTTTGGTGGTTTCGGAGAGTGTGAGAACTTTGAGCCTACGGCCTTTATGGCACCGCTTGAGACTTTCTCCTTGAATGGTCGCACGGATGAGAACCAACGACTTTTCAGTGTTGGGGATCTTGGTCTTCAGAATTTGAATACGACTTTCAAGGATGTTGCTTTGGAGGAGCATTTGATTGCTTCGACTTTGGAGGACACTGAGCCGTGGATCCTCTTTGATTCAGGTGCTGCAAGTCACTGTTGCCCGAAGGACTTTGCTTCAGAGTGGCCACTTCTGCCACTTACAGGTAAGGCTCCACCTTTGAGGAGCATTTCAGGTCAGCCTTTGACGGTCTTTGGAAGGAGACTTGTGAAGGTTGACTTTGAGGGCCAGCCCTGTTTCTTACACTTCTACGTTTGCGACGTTCCCTACTGTGTGGTGTCCGTTGGCAGACTTTTGAGGTCAGGCTTTGACGTGAACCTTCCTTCTAAGAAGGCGAACACTTTGGAAACACCGGATGGACACAAGGTGCCCATCACTAGGCATGGTTCACTTCTTTTCTTGAGGCCCACTTTGGCACCTTTCAACCGGGAAGAGTTTGAGGTTGTGTGTAACACTTTTCACACACAGAGCGCCCAAGGTACCATAGTGGCCCCAGTTTTTAAGCCTGTCGTCCAGTATCACATTGATAAATGGGAGCTCTCGGGTAATACTTTGACCCGCATACACAAAAGAGCGAGAGCTACTTTCTTTTCTCCCGAAGGGACGAAAGATCGCCCTGTAGAACTGAAGGACCTTTCAGACGAACGCGTAACCTACTTTGAGTACGCAGATGGCAGAAAAGAGACTTTCACCGACAACTGGCGTAAGGTAGCTAACCCAAAGGGCCCAGCCTCTGAACGTTTTGTTGGCAAGACTGTTTTAAACTTTCCTCCAAGCCCGCTGGCCGCAAGCTGGTTGGAAAACAGACAACTTTACCTGAACCCACACCTGCACGCAAACCACAACCACTTGAACAGCAGCAGGAACCTTTAGCAGAGGCCCCACAACCACTTTTCAAGCAACCCACTAAAGGCCTCAAGGAGCAAAGCACCGAGGACACTTTCCGTCTGCGCCTTGAGCAGACCTCTTCAGGAACGCTGGAAGACTTTCGAAAGGCTTTGCTTGAACAACTTTTGGAGAAGGACCCGGCAACAGGCCAGCCGTACACGCACGACTTGTGGCTTGACTTTCCGTCTTGCTGGGTGCGTGTCCACTACGAACAGCGGACCACACTTTTTGTGCCTGAGGATCCGCACTTTGAAGAGCAGCTTGGCGACGGTCGCATGACTTTGGTTGTGAGGCCAGACACGGAGGCAGTGCCCTTTTGGCACGCTGACCATTGGCGCAAGCGCGGCGCCACTTTGATCAGCTCTCCTTTTGTCGGAGCCACTTGCTTTGAGAAGGCAGACTTGCAACTTGTTGAGTGCGAGCCGGAAGCTCCGGACTACGTTGCGCATCGCCCTCGCGGACTTAAACAGCCGGGCGAGCCAACTTTGACGGAGCGGCTTGAACACGAGTTGACGCACTTGCCTTTTAAGCCCTGGTGTGAAATTTGTGTGCGTTCCAAGAGCAAGCAGGCTAAGAGTCGCAGACTTTCCCTGAAGCAGCCTGTGCTGCAGATGGACTTTAGCTTTCTTGGCGACAAGCCTGGTGAGGAACAGATCCCGATTTTGAATGTTGTCGATGTTCTTTCAGGCATGGCACTTTCTGTTGTGATCCCCACCAAGGCCCGCACACCTTACTCGCAGGCTGAACTTCGTCGCTTTGTGCTTGAAACGGGCAGAACTTTCGGTGTGTTGCAAGCGGACCCCGAACCCGCCCTCCTCGCTATTGCAACTTCTGTCACTGGTGAGGTTGGTGGACTTTCCTTTCGGAAGACGCCCGTCGGTTGGAAGCAAGCGCAAGGCAGCGTGGGTAACATGCAAGCCACTCTGTACGGACAGATCAAGGCTTTGCGCCTTGAGATCCTTGAGCGCTACGACGTTGACCTTTCGGTGCACTCAGCTTTGTTTACTTGGCTGGTTCGTCATGCGCAGTGGCTTGTGAACCGTTACCTTTGCAACGCGGAAGGAACTACGGCTTTTGAGCGGCGCTGGCGTAAGAAATATGCTGGCTTTATCTGTCGCTTTGGAGAGACAGTACTTTTCCGCAAGCCGCATCCGCAGAA